GCCCGCCTCGGCCTCCCAGAGAGCTAGGATTACAGGCGTGAGCCACCACGCCCGGCCCCTCAACCCCAGTTTTTATTCCCTATGTGAACAGGAACATGGCAGTATGACCACCTATTTCCCATCCATTAAATGTAAAGTACACCTACCCCTCACCCACTTATAGAACCACTACAGTATCAATGCGCTAAACAGTATACAAGTTCTATGATCTTTAATTCACTCAGCCTTACCCGATTCGATCTACGAAAGGATCCATGGTCTCATCTACCAGGTGCCTATTGGTCTGCCTACTACCAAATCCTTGCTCTTTAAACATCTTCGTTAATATGAGCAGGTCACTAGATGCCATCTCAAAGTATGCATAATAAAGGAAAATAATTTCTAGCAGCATGGACTGTTCCCGAAGGCACTGAACAAACCAGCGAGACACCTGGCGCTCAGTCTGTACAACCGGTTAAGAAAAAAATGGGAGAGGAATAAAGTGATATTAAAAACCATATTTAAAATTTTTTAAAGTTATTTTTACACTTGATCTTAGCCAAAAGTCTGAGAAATAATGAAGTTATTTTTATTAGATAATACAGGCACACGATAGAAAATTCAAAAAGTATAAGAATACAGTGAAAGAAGGGCTCCCACCATATAATTCCTATTGCCCAGTCATGCAAACCTCTCCTCAGAAGCAACCACTGTTAAGAGATATTTCTCTCTTTTCAGCAATATGCCATACATATTAGATCATTCATTCTATATGCTATCTATCTCTAAACCAAATTAACTAACATATTACATAAATCATTCAGCACCTTACCTTTTTCACTTAACAACGTATGTTAAAGATTATTTCCTGTAACAGTATATTAAGAATTTCCTTATTTCTCATCCGTTTTTATACGTGCAGAGTAATCCATTATGTGGATACGCCATAGATAATTCCATTAGTCCTCTCATTATTTTTAATATTGCATAGTATTCCATGTAAATGCCACAATTTATTTTAACTTGACTACCTGGATGGGCATTTAGGTTATTACCAATCTTTTGCTAATAAAATCATGCTATACAACCGATAGAATAACCAGACAAAAAATCAGCAAAGAAAATCTGAACAATCTTGACCTGACTGATAGTTACAGAATACCATACTCAGCTACTACCAAACACACATTTTTTTCAAGTGTACATGGTTCATTCATCAAGAAAGATCATATGGTGGGCTATAAACCATGAGACGATAAATTTTAAAACACTAACACAATACAGAATGTGTTCTCTGATCATAACAGCATAAAATAAAAAATTGATAACAGTAAGATAGCTAAGAAAAATAGCCTATGTTTGAAAATTAAACAACATATTTCTAAATAATACATGAGTCAACGAAAATCGTAAGGAAAACAAGAAACTATTTTGAACTAAATGATAATGAAAATACAATTATTTCAAAATTTGAGGGATGCAGCTAAAATCAGTGCTTAAAGCAAAGTTTCAGTCTTTATAAAGCTCTATATATTACATTATGCATGGGCCCTTTTATTCTATTAAATATTTTAAATAGTTACCGTGTTTTTGTTGACATGTTTTAATAAGAATGTATTATTTTCAAAATAAAAAGGTCATGCTATAATCTATAAATGCAAATTGATCAGGATTTAGGATAAAATAATCAGACTAGTGTCACACACTTAATAGAAAATGATAATAAAGAAGATGAAATCTTAGGTTTAGAGTTCCATTAACCACTGAGAGAGGCCGGGCGAGGTGGTTCACACCTGTAATCCCAGCACTTTGGGAGGCCGGACACAGGAGGATTGCTTGAGGTCAGGAGTTCAAGACCAGCCTGAGCAAGAGCAAGACTCCATCTCTACAAAAATTAAAAAATTAGCCGGGTGTGGTGGCGCATGCCTGTAGTCCCAGCTAC